CCTTAATACTAAACCTATAAATATATATACATAGATCTATTTCCCCATCCTCATATATAAATAATTTGCATATGTACATGCCTTTTTCTAGACCTCTATAAATGCCCTTTGCCTCCCAGCTCTTTTCATCTATTTCCTTTGACTTTCCCCCTGTCCCATTATCATGTTCAGTCCCCACCTGGGTTTCAGCAATTCCTCTTGGTTACATTACCCTTGATCATGCTCTACCAGGCCTCCCACACACTCCTCACCACCGATTTGGATCACTTGCTGTACCCTTGCCCCTGGGTTTTTTAGCACCACTTCCTTTCTGCCCATGTCCCCCCGGAACCTTCGGTCCCTTTGTTTTCTACTCCAGATTGTTCATCCAGCCTATCTTACTTAGACACACCTGCGGAGATAATAACGTGCACAAAAACAAGACATAACAAAACAAAGCAATAAAAGAAAACAAAACATGAACAACAACAAAAAGCCAAACGACAAAAGAGAAAAGCCTGTAGTTCAAGGACTGTTGGCCTTTCGGATGGTTTTCCAGTCAAGTCTGATGGGGTGCCAAGCCCTGGCCCCAAAGTCTTTTTTTGGTATTCCCTGGGGACTTCGTTGCTCTGTCCCCCTTGTTCTATTGCACGCCCTTAGTGTCTTGCCTCTGTGTGGTGGGATCAGATCTGGTGCAATTCCCCCACTGTCTCCAGTGTTGTCCCCTGTAGGGGTAGGGGTCAGTGAGGGATATTGTGTTTCATAGTAGGGCCGGCCATATGGTCTTTTTTTTTTCTTTTTTTTTTTTTAACTTATGCCATGTGGTCTTTTCTGTGGATTGGCTGCTCTGAGCAGGAACATCGTCCTCAAGGCTTGGTGGGCCAGAATGTACTCCACTCTCTCTTCCACCCCTTCATTTGCTCCCATGTGCTCTGATAAAACATGTCCCTCTCCCTGAGCTCCAGCTTCAGTGCTGTCCTCTCAAATAAATTCTTCTGGGGGGTGGGGTAGGTCATGGACATATATGTTGTGTTGCTCAAACCTATGTTTTGCAGTGCATGGCTGAATTTACCTGTTCATGACATTTCATAAAAGTAAGTACAGTATTTGCTTTTCTGTGATTGACTTGTTTTGCTCTGTAGGATGTCTTCCAGGTCAACCATGTGCCAAGATGTTTTAGGAACTTTTTCTTTATCCTTGAGCTTTGGTGTGGGCACTTAGGAGGCTTCCTTTTGTTTACTATTGTGAGTAGTGCTGTGATGGGCATAAATGTGCCTACATCTATTTGTGTCACATCTGTTAGATCCTAGGAGTGGAATTGCTGAGTCACGTGGCAGTCCTCCCTGTAGGTATTTTTGTGCACTGCCAGGCTTTTTCACAGCAGCTTTACCATTTTACATTCCATCAGCTTGGAGGGGTGTTATAGTTTCTCTGCATCCCCCTCTAGCACTTGTTATTTTCTGTGATTTTGGCCATCTTAGTGGGAGTAAAATCCTTAATTTTAAAAATAATTATTATTATGATAGATGTGTGTTGATGCAGAAGACCTTAGCTCATATGTTTTCGTAACACCAGTACCTAAACATAGAAGACACTCAATAAATTATGTGGGAGACATTTAGCCAGGGATGAAGTAGGAAGGATGCTGGTTCATCAATTGTGTTTGTCTTACGCCATCACCTTTTCCATTACTGCCAGCTTAACATGTTCAGAACTGTGTTGACTGGCGAGGTCAGGGGTAGTGGGCCTTGCCCCTCTTGAAAGTAAACCTAGCTTGGCTCTGTACCATCAGCCATCCTAGCCAAATATGATCTAAATGGACGGAGAAGGGGAGACTTAATAAGTGACAGATCAGGAATAATAGCTGTTGCCACTCCTTCAACCTTGGGGAGCTTGGTGCTTTGTTTCTTCATTGTATTCCCTTCTAGCTCTCTTTTCTTCTTCGTTTGGCATTCCACAAATATTCATCACCCACTGTGTACTTGGTCTTTTCTTGGCATTTAGCTATATCAGTGAACTAAACAAATAAGATTTCACAGTGTGATGAGAGAAGACAGGCAGTAAACAATAGACTACCTCTCTCTCCTTGCCTTGCCTTGCCTATGCTTAAGAATCAGAACAAATAACAGAAAAACAGCAGCTTCATCTACTCGGACTCTTACCCTGTGGATTCACTTCAGCTTGGCACTTAGGACAGTGCCTTGTGTCTGGGAGAGCACAGTAGATATTTGCAACCTTTGGGACATCTGTCTGCCTGTTGATTTCCACAGTGCTTTCTTTCCCATCTGCCTTCATCATCTTTTCCACTGCCATTCCTTTTATGAGGAAGGTCAGAATAAAATCTAAAGAAACGAAACATTTTCTGTAATGGCGTGGCTTTGGTGGGGGACAGTGGGGACCTACAGAACCACAGTAATTAGATTACAGACAATCCTTCAGGGAAGTTCTGACCAGGAACCTGGAATAGTGATTCTAGCAGTTAGTGCTTTTTCTGTTGAACACCACCCCCACCCCACCACCCCGCCAATCATATTATTATGAAGAAATTCCACATTGTAATAAATACTAGTTCTGGAAAAGTCACAGTGCATATATCTATTGCCACAGAGTCAATTCCAACTGATGGTGACTGTATGGGACAGAACAGCTCCACAGGGTTTCCAGGGCTGTAATCCTAACAGAAGCAGACCAGCCTTACCTATCCCCTGAGGGGTGGCTGGGATATTGAAAGCACAAACCTTTCATTTCACAGCTAAGCACTTAACCACACTGCTGCCAAGGCATTGATAGTACATATAAAGTACTGAAATAGGGCTAATTGAATAAATTCCTTGAGAGAATGTTAATAAACACAAGCATATTCTAACTCAGTAAATCTTTTCTAAGTTTGTCATTTATAAAGATTTTATTATGAACACAGTTGAAGGAAACTTCATGGGTATTAGCAGCCTAGAAATTTTGTTACTTATCCTGAATGGGAAGGAAGGAATTAATTTGTTTTCAGTTAGAGTTTGCATTCAAAGGATCATCCGCTGAAATGGAAAGTCGTTTGTAGAGATGGTGCTTTTGAATAGAGAATAATTATGTCTTGCATTTGCATAGTGCTTGTTCAAAAAAAAAGTTTTCATGTGCCATTTTATCTTCCTAGTCACTCAGATTTTCAGCTCCTGTATGAATAGATCTGAAAGTGGAAAAGGTGGTCACTGATTGCTCTTCAGCCAGTAGTTGATAGTGGTCAGAATCGGAACCTTCTGCTGATTGTTAGGCCCACAGACCGCTTTCTGTCACAGATTCTGAAAAATCGGGTGCAGCACCAAGTTAGCAGTTTGGACAGAGAAGCGCCACGTAAGAGCGAGCGATTTTAGTGACTAAAAGCAGATCTGAAATCAAGAGTCTGAAAACCTTGTGTGGGAGAGGAAGGTGCAGGCTTGTGCCAGGAGTTTAGGCTCTACCCCTTTGCATTATAGCTATGCAAGTTGTTTGTGATTTTTTTTCATTATTGTGGATTGGTAAAAAGGTCCTATTAGTGCTCAAAGATGGTGAACATCCAGACGAATTAGCATTCAGCTAATGTTTCTTATAGGATTTCATACCCCTTGCTCCCCAGACTCTATGGGACCAGTAATTTCCTTTCTTTCTTACCTCTCTATCTAGGAGCCTCCGGAGGATGATGCAAACATCATTGAGAAGATCCTGGCTTCTAAAACAGTACAAGAGGTCAGTGGCTTATGTTTCCAGCTATGAAGAAGTATTTGGCCAGAGAACCTGGAATGGCCATTTCTGGCTGGAGTGAGAAGTAGGCCAGAACAGTGTCTGGCTAATCAGTATCATTTTGTATCCCAACCACAATTTTAGAGTAGAAGACTCTACTGGCTTTTATTCATTGTAATCTTCACAGTTTTAGTTGTTGCAACCATTAATGTAAACTTAGGCCAAGAAAAAAAGGTAAGATGATAGGTTCCCAAACTTAACTTGGCCTGCTGTCTCCTTTGCAGAAAAAATATTACTCTGCGCCCATCTTGGCAAGTAAACACTTGTACTATAGCCCATAATACTAGATATGGTGTAGGTATCTGTTTTTGAAGCTCCACCCAGCAGGCAGTATTTGGGAAACACTGAGCCTGGAAAGTCCTAATGAAAACATTTTAGGTTATGTTTGTCTCCCCATCCCCACCCGCCTGTCAGACTTTAGATTGTCAGGGTATCTTGAGGCCATTGTATTGTAGGGTCCAGGTTCGCTTAGATGTCGAGAGGGAGAGCATAATTTCATCTTCAAGTATTTTTTAAAGTGTTACTGAATACCATTGGCGTTTGGGAGGTAGGAATCAAGGAATAACAGAGATAAATGGACTAATCTCTCAGAACTTGGGTCATTTGAGGTTCATCATCTGAACCCTACCCCAGTGTAGACCTTGGACGGATGCATGGAAGATCTGAGTCCATATTTTATTTTGTACCTGTGCCTTGGAAAACCTGGCTAAATAGCTCTCGGGAAGAGGCAAAACAATGGAAGAAGTGGAAATATCTTCAAGAAATCTGTATTAAAGCCAAGCAGAAGGCTCCGTTTTACATTTTTGAGATGTGCAGGGAGGAGGGAGCATGTGAGGGTGACCTTCAAAGGATGTGGGATAATTCCTGTTTGCTGTTGGTTTCAGGTTCACCCCGGGGAACCCCCATTTGACTTGGAGCTATTCTACGTTAAGTATAGAAATTTGTAAGTCTATTTAACGTATCTGGGTTTGGTATAAATAAAATTTCTTTTCCCTTATCACAGTGTTAGTGTCCATATTTTCAGAGAATGGCTTCTGAGGCATGGCCCACAGACACGGATTGGCTCAAGCTCACCTTGGCATGAGCAGTCATGTTTGACTGACTGATTGCAGGGCACACAGAGCACTCTGTAAACCTCGGAAGCACTTGATCCCCAAGGGCAGCTGACTCAGGCCCTGGGAGTAGACTACAAGGATCCAGTCTTCTTAAATCCCCTCGGCAGGTCTCGTTTGTCCCGAGTGGAGAGCCGTTGTTTTGTCACATACACCACTGTACTCGTGCAGTTTGCTCTCCCTTGCTGTTACATGCTCACTTGGACTCGGGTGTTAATGATATTCTGCACCCCCAGGCTCTGAGCCTATTTATATAGGAGTTACTAGGAGATACTTTGTTTAGAATTATTCCCATATTTGATTTAGTTTGGTGTTCTCTTTTGCTCTTATGGGCAAAGCCCTTCTTCTCAGCCCAGTCCCCAGCAGTTTTATAATAAGTCACTCTGCCACTTGTGTGTTAGATGCCATTCTGTGTCCTGGGCAACTGAGGGCGCAGTCATTTGCTAGTATGTGCTTGTTTTAAAATGTATGTGTCTTTGGATAGTTCCTACTTGCATTGTAAATGGGCCACCATGGAAGAGCTCGAGAAGGATCCGCGCATTGCACAGAAGATCAAGAGGTTCAGGAACAAGCAAGCCCAGATGAAGCACATTTTTACTGAGGTGAAGCAATGTTTACTGACTCCTTTGTCTGCTGCCCTTTCTTGCAGTATACAATTCTGGGTTTCAGCTTCAAATTTCTGAGTTCAGGTTTGAAGTCCCTTGCTTCTCTATTGCTCAAGGCAAATTGCTAAGCATGAAATTGGTTCAGATCTAAGCTAAAGAAAGCAAATGCTTTGCTTATGCATGAGGAGAGTAACTCTTAGAAGCTGGCAACTCCTAAGAGCATGTATCTTGGTCAGAGTAATTAGAGAGCCAGAGAAGTATGCACATATTTTCTTCAACTCTTTCCCTCACCAGAAGGTCAATTCCACAGTGACTTTAAAGTCTCCATGTAAAGACAACAAAGATGAAAGTGCTGGAAGAAAGCATAAGCAAATAATTATATTTTTATAAACTTACAGCAAGAGGAAGGATTGATGAATTAAAATATTAAACATCTCTTACTCTATACAGTGGAAAATTCCACACATATTAAAAGTAAATAATTTTAGGAAAAATTAGTATGTTTATGTATATGCATCACATACATAATAAACCTTTGTCCTTTAGATCCCTCAGCACTAGCAATATACATGTATAACTATATATGGCATACATTTTTCTTCCACCGTGTGAAAGCCTTCCTATTTATATTTATACCACATAAATACATATACAGTGGAAGAAAGAGAAACTTTTTACTCCTTCAAAGACTTATAGTCTCAGAATCTCACAGAGGCACTTGTTATGAGTCAGTATCATTTCCTTAAATTGAATATACACATATATACACCAAATTGATTTAATGGTAAGAAATGCTTTTGTAATTCAAGAAAAAGGTAAAACTTCAAATAGAAAAAATGGACAACTGAACAGAAAGGCAGTTCAGAAAGAAGGAAAAATTGATCATTAGCCATATTAGACTGTAACCATTTCCCTAATCATCAAAGAAATGCACATTACAATGAGAAGCTTCCATTTTCTACTTAACAGATGTTTGAAGCCTTGAAAGCAGATATTACCTGTTTCTAATGGGCACCCTGAGAGGAGAACACTGGCCTATCACTGGGTGGGGGTGCCACTTGAGGCCTGACTGAGGGACATCATCACAGCAGGTGGCAGCTCTCTCGGGATTTGCGTATTTTTTGCCCCGGCAGTTCTGTGTTTTAAGAAAGTCATCAGGAGTGGGCACAGAGGCCTAGCTATGGTAGAGTCATTTATTATTATGGCTTTAAAAAAGGAAAACAGCAATATGTTAGACTGTAGGCATTTGTTGTACTATGGTATGTTCCATAGACTGGAATAGTATGTAGTTGATAAAGGTGACATTAGAGAAGAATGATTAATGAGAAGCATGGTGGTTCATGTCAGGTTGAAAATGTCAGGCTCTGACAGTGTGGGACCAGTCCATTGGGCGGGGTGGGGGTGCAGGAGAAAGACCCACAGTATTCATGTGCACACAGTGTCTTGAATATATGTGAAAATGCTGATCTCACGTTCTATGGTGGGTGGGTCATGGTATTTTGTTCTTTTTTAAACAGAATTTCAAGTTTTTATGCATAAGACTTTTGTAATAAACAATAAAAAGTATCCTCGCAATGTGATGGTCACTAGTATAGGTCCAGAAAATACATACAAATCCCATCAAATTAGAGTAAACTGCTGTATAGACTTATTAAAGTATCGTTCATCTTGCGTTGCTTTTCCTAAAGTGGGAACAAGTATATGTATTTTAGGAGTGTGCTAGTGCAGTCTTACTGGAACAAACACGGAGAGCTCCCTCTTTAACCTGGGTGTGTGGCCCCAGCCCTCCTATGACTGTTAGGGTGGCACTGCTCCTCTAGTAGGGTTGAAGACAGGACTACGGCTAGATCTGGAAGAGCCATTAATAAACCCTGATGGATACTCCCTCTGTTCTTGCAACAGTTTGAATCACATCTCAGTTGTTGCAACTGTGTACAGTGTAGCGGCTTGTTTACATGCCTGTTTCTTCCACTTGAAGCTCTGTGAAGTAGACATAGCCCTCCCCTGTCTTCCTGTCATTCCTTTTGCTGGCACTAGGCACAAGGGCAGTGGTCAGTAATTGTTGGGCACTTTCCAGGTAAGGCAGGGGCCTTTGCCTTACTTCAAGTCCCTCCATCAGATCTTTCAGCACTTACAGTTTTCTTGGGGGGTGGGGGCGTCCAAACTCGTTCAGTGGATTACCAAGTCCCATGTATCTATTTTCTGATCTATTCCCAACAGTGTGGATTTTCTTTGGTTGGAGATGGAGAGAGGAAACAGTTTTAAAGGGTCAAGAAATAATATAATAAGAGCTTATACTCTTGCAGGAAGGAAAGGCTTTTGAAAAGATCATAGGACTGCATGAGATCGAGGAGACAGAACAGTAGAGGGGAGCCCCTGGTAGAGAAGTGGGTTACCAGTTAGGCTGCAAACCACAAGGTCAGCAGTTTGAACTGTCACCTGCTGCTCCATGAGAGAAAGATGAGACTTTCAGTTTCTAACAAGAGTTAACAGTCTCCTAAACCAACAGGGGCAGTTCTACCCTGTTTGGGGGGTTGCTAGGAGTCGGAATTGAAGGGAGGGCAAAGAGTGACAGGATAGAGGAGTCTTTGGTCTTGAGCTAGTCTACACCTTTATTAACAACCTGGGTGAATACTAGTCTCACAGGCCCTGGAAGAGAGCTAGGGTACATGAAGGAGACTCAGGCTCCAGAGGCAGCAGAGCCTCAGATGCCACAGAACTAGAGGTTCTCTGACTCTGAACTCTTCTGAGAACCCAGAGACTTTCTGATTCAACGAAACCCTGGCCCAGTTAGTGGCATAACCAGGGTTCAGGTTTCCTGGACAGGCTACAATGAATGAAATAGAATGGCCGCGAATTGAATATATAAACAAAATGCCCTACATTTATATTTTAAAAGTGTGCTCTAACTGTGGAGTGGAGGAAAATGGGCACCAATTCTAGGGGAAAATAATATGGCCACTTTAATTACCAAGCATGCCAAGCATGAGGTTTGGCTTCTTAAACACATCAAATTACTCCTGGACCATACCAAGAGAACAGCCCTGCTCTGCCTCGCTCTTCTCAACCCCGAGTGTCATGTTCATTCGGCACCAGGATTCTTTGAAGGACTTGGAACCACTCGTAGGCATGAACTGCAGGAAGTCTCTAGTGGTGGCAAAGGAAGTAGACACAGCTTAGTGATTGAGGGCAAAGGTGGAAAGCAGGCTGCGTGAAGCCGAGAGCTGAAGCTCTGGAGTTAAATGCCCAGGGCACAGATTCCAGCTCTACCCACTCCTGGCTGTGCATGGCCTTGGATCCCATGAAGGAGCTCCTTCAGACAGGGTTTCCTCTTCTATAAAGTTGGACTCACAGTAGTTCTATCTCACAGGATACTTACAGGATCGGATAACACAGTGTTGACGGACCCAGTTGGCATGGCTTGACTCGGAGTCACCGTTGCTTTAATGCTACCCATCTGAATCATGAGTGGGCTGGACACCTGCCTTATGACCAACAGACAGGGCTATTTGTCCCTGAGAAAGAGGAATGCTGCCTTCAGATCTATAAAGAAACACACAGGCTGATTGAATCAGCTTGCCTACTGCTGCATCAGACGGGGCAATTCCCAGCAGTGAGTCCCCATAATAAGGAAGGAAATTCGGCTAGAATTTAATCATGGTCACAACATTAATCAGGATCACAAAAGTGCCACTAACCAGGAGAAGGAGCAGCAGGGGATCAAGCTTTAGAGAGCAGTCAGTTTCTTGGCAGGAATAATTGAGCCTGAGGGGGGATTTGCCAGGGATGTGCTAATACAGTATTGATTTGAAGGTGAAACTAGATCACCTCTAAGTACTTTGCAGCCTTAGAGGCAGTAAAGAGAGCTCAGAGGGTCTGGGAGAAGCTTCAGACAGACCTGGGTGTGTGCTTCAGCTCCGAGCTCACACAGCTCTGTGTGGGACCTGGGTCACCTGCCTCAGCCTCGCCTGTGAAGTAATTACAGCACCTGCCCCGTTAGGTTGTTTGGAGATGTACCTCTAAGCAGTTAACATAATTCTGGACACATTCCTGAGAGTTACTGACCCTTCCTTTAAGTAAACTCATTGAAGCATCTTGTGTAGAATGATAACGCAAGAGTGTACAGCTCAAGTGTACACATCTGTGTAATGGTATCCTGGGTCAGGAAGGAAATGGAGCATTATCAGCACCTTAGAAGGTCCCCCTCAGTCTTCCTCCCAATGTTAGGTCTGCTGCTGTTGTTTTTGTTACAGGAGCTCTAGTTCTGTGTTCCCAAGGGCTGGTTTTGGATCAGAGCAGAAGGAAAAGTGCCCTCCCTGTCCAGAGTTTTCATATCGCCGCAGTGACTGTGGGAAGGCCTTCCCCCGGCTCTGTGCCTTCTCTAGGTGAGAGCACGGCTGGCTCTTTTGACGTTAGTTGCTGAGAGGAGGATGGTGAGGAAATGTCTGTGAAGCCAGGCTTCGAAGTGGTTCATTCTGGTTCAACACCGTGTTGAGAATCTGTTACCCTCCCACCCCACCCCGATGTACTCAATCCGAACATAGATTTTGACCAGATCCCCCTAAGACTCCCAGGTGGGGATTAATAAAAATCACCCTGGGTTCTTCTTAAGCTGTAGAGGTATGTGAACCCTTGCTCTCTGGGTTTCGGTGAAACTGGGAGCTTTGGTAATAGGGACCTCAGGGTTGGAATGTCACGCAGTGGGGGGCACTTGTAACTGTTGCCCTTTGTTTGCATCAGCCTGATGAAGACTTATTCAACCCTGACTACGTGGAAGTTGACCGCATATTGGAGGTGGCCCACACCAAGGACGCAGACACAGGCGAGGTGGGTGTTCTCTCTGCCCACTCCCTGGGGGAATGCGTGCGGCATTACTCATGGCCTATACTGTCCCAGCCTTCATGTGTTGTACACTGGTTTTCCGAGGCCATCCAGAGGATACCAACCCACATAAACCAATAGAAAGAACAGCTTCTTTCCTGTGTTCCCCCAGGAGGTGACACATTACCTGGTGAAGTGGTGCTCCCTGCCCTACGAAGAAAGCACGTGGGAGCTGGAGGAGGACGTGGACCCCGCCAAAGTGAAAGAGTTCGAGTCTCTGCAAGTTCTCCCCGAAATGAAGCACTCGGTAGCCTATCTCTCCCCCCAGTTTTGTAACGTGCGATGTCATGAACTTGGTCATCGAGACAGCCACTTGCCTCTGCCCCTAAGAGTTTTCTGTGGTATCTTCCCTCTAGCCAACCCTGTAGTTGCAGTGTTTGCTCCCCCAGCCAAACCCTAGCACCCGCTCGGCCTGAGGCCTGGGCTCTCTTTGGAAGAACGTGACATTTAAGAAGAGTGGATCGGAACTTAAGTTTCTTGGTGCTTGGCTGTGGTGTGGAGATAGTTAAGGTGGACTGTGGAAGAAATGCCTGTTGTGTTGTTTTTCCTTTGTATTGTATCTTATTTCTTGCTACATCATTAATCTCTTTTTTGGTTGTTTTTCCTCCTTTGCCTTCACTCAACTGGAAGATTCTTAAGGTGAAAATCTGCCTTTTATTTATCAATCCCTGGTACCTCACAGAGAGAACATAAGTTCTCAGTATATGTTTATTAAATCGATTTGTTTTTCTCATTCTGGTTGTTCTCAACAAGTTGTAAAAATGCCCCAGGGGTCCCGAGTCGTGGTTCTATAGAGTGTCACAGTGATAACAGGAAGACTTGGCATCAAAGCCAAACTAAACCCACTGCCAAGGAGTGGATTCTGCTGCTGCAGCACTGCAAGACAGTAGAACTCTTCTGTAGTTTCCACAACCCTAAATCATAGGCTCCCAAACCTAGGTGGCCTACATACTGCCCCTTTTGCAGAAAAAAAAAAAAAAAATTGCCCTGCACCCCCCTGGCAATTGAAAACTTTTTTGTGCTTTAGCCCATAGTCCAGGATATGGTGTATGTATCTATTGCAGCACTGGATGTTTCCAGCAGCCCCCCAGGGGGCAGTCCCACCTACTGGGAAACAGGGCTCTAACCCTTCACAGAGCAGTCAGCTTCATCTCTCTCACTCATACTGGGATTACAGCCTGGTTACAGTGTAACTAAACTAGAAATAGCATTGCTTAATTAAAAACTCAACTATAGACTGCAGTGATCACAGTTTCTATTTTTTAAAGTCATGTTTTATTTAAAAGAACTCTTTCCAAGAGTTCCAGTAAAAGCTGGAACCCATGTAAAACAGAAATATGTCAGAGAAGGAAAACTACTGAAACATGTTACTTTCCACTAACAGAGGGATAGAAATGTGGTAAGACTACCCCTGTCAAAAGGTGGAAAACTTGTGAGCCCTCGTGAGGACATGATTGCCACAAGGCAGAAATCAGACATGCCTCCACACCCCATCCCTTTAGCCCTATTCTGACACCAACCATCCCTCCCATAGTACTCCACCTCTGTGACTGGGCTTGATAATTCATTGTAAGGGCTGCACAGAACTCTCAGATGATATTCCTAATTACTGGGTTTAATAGGGAAGTTGTAGGCTACAATTCAGGCGAGGCAGGCATTTGTTCAGTCCAGACAGTTTCTTCTCTGCCATACCCACAGGCAGGTCTCTTTCTGGCCCTCAGCCACTTGGCCTGGCCTCTTCCCTCTGGAGTAATGTTACAAAACTCTTTTAGGGCTGCTAATATATGCCTTCTGGGCATCCCACTCCACCATAGGCCTCAACTCAAAGGTACTGCGCTTTAGCTCTGTAGGTCAGTAAACCTGAATTAAGTGCCCCAAAGCACCCCAGTCCACAAGCTAGCCTTCTGACCAAAAGCATTCAGATTTGCTTGCTCTGTGAAGTGGTAAGTCTACCACCCAGTCTCATGCTCTGGTTCCTGATTTTGCGGTTGCTTCTCTGCCACTACTTCCAGGGATCTTGGGGTCCCAAGGACATGTTTCACTCCTGGCTCTTTTGCTAGTGATGAGATTCCCCCCGCTTTCCTGCATCTGAAATGGTTCTTGTTATACTTATCAGAATGAAAAAAGACAATTAACCCTGTAAACAATCACTCACAACTGAAATAGATAATCTAATTAGTGTCTTCTTTCACCTTCTTGCCCAGACCCATCAGGAAAACAAAGGTCATTTGGTGGGAATGGCAAAGGCTATAGCTAGAAGAGCCAGATTCAGTAATGCATTGCATCTCACCCGGCCCTGAGTGCCTGCTCTCCCTGCCTCCACTAGTATGTTTGGTATTACATATCTAGAGAGCTGGGATTCAGAAATAGACTTCAAGATTAAACATAGATTTGGGTCAGAGTCAGATCGATAGTAGTGGCTTTTTTGTTTATTTGGCTTTTAGTTTGTCTGGTTTGGGGCATATTAAGTTGTGTAAAAGTATATTGAGATGGAGAACTGTGATCAGAAATGCATATAGTTGATAGGGTTGCTGATTTTAAATTTCTCTTTCATCTGAATCCAACCTCCAGTTTTCCTTAACTAATGTTGGCTTTTAAATTCATATGGTCAGTCATTGCTTGAGCATTCTGAAGACACAATAGGGAACAGAGTACAGGCCCTTTCCCAGGAGTTGAGTTTACTGGAAGAGGAGAGGCATGTGTGTGCAGGGACAGATAGGTCTGCAGTTGTGATGTAGAGACAAACATGGGCCGGGTGGAGTGGGGAGTATGCTGAGTGCAGAGAAAATTTCATTCTGTGGCTAATTATAAGCTACTGTTGAGAAGTCATCAGACACAAGCACACACACCAACCCACTCCCTCATCCCCTCCTGCTGTTTCTTTTGGCTGACTGGTTCTCAGCCAGTTTCACATCTCCCTCTTTGCCATTTACGATGCTACTACCCTTCCCACCTCCACTGAACCATGACATTTGTCTCACATTTGTCATTTCTTCTCCATTGAAAAATACACATTTTGGAAATATATACCAAAGGCTGTAGGTTAAAATGGTACCAAAAAATAAGATAAAAAGTTAAGAAAAGGACCAGCCCCAAATGGTCTCTCTCACTCTCACTGCCATCGAGTTGATTCCAGGTCATAGTGACCTTAGAGAACAGGGAAGAACTGCCCCAGTGGTTTTCCAAGGCTTTACCTCTTTATAGAAGTAGAAAGCCTCGTCGCCTAAATTACTTTTTGCTGTGTTTTGAAGGGATCTTATTCTGTACTTTGAAGGTTAGAGGTGACCCTAGCAGTCTTGGTGAATAGGACACTCTGTAGCTAAAAGCTTTTGGTTGAAAATAGGTAACTTGTAGAGTAGAACATGGACTCTTCAGAAAGCACAAAGTCCCCAAAGGTGTCAGTAATGCTTGTGCTAAGGGAGAGAAGCAGGATCTTAATGGGAAGGGCTTCCCTTGGAGACTCCTAGAGTCACATTCCTCCCTTGGACATTGAAGGGGAAAAAGCTGAAGGTGGGAGGTCCTGGGGTAAAGTGCTCTTTACCATGGGGTAAGCAGCCTCCCAGGTTGGGTGTGAAAACAGCTGGCTAACTCCAAGCTTGTGCTGAGGTGACTGGCCAGGGACGTGAATGAAACTCAACCTTCAGCACCACTGGTCTAGTAAAGCCCAGAGAGTGACTTTGCACCTAGAACCTTTCAAAGGCAGCAAAGTACTGTGAGCAGCTTGAATCACTAGGGCTGGAGAACATTCTAGAAAGTCTTCAAAGGCTTTAGGGATCCAGGCTGAACTGGCTCCTTCAGACTTTAAAAAAAAAAAAAAAGTCATTTCTTAAGGGAACAAAACACGATGGGTTTACATAGAAATTGCTTGCTTTAAAGCTATTTAATTAAAATAGAAAAAGGTGTGAGCCTTGATCTGTATTTCTTTGAAAGACCACGCACAACTTATATTGATCCCTAGTGTTTCCAAGTTAGGGTTAATAAACACCATGGAAGATCTTAGTCAATTAGTTTTTTTTTAAAGAAAGTATTTTGGGTATTCATTTTATTAGCCCAAAGGGCCTTTAGTATCTCCAAATAAGAGTAAATAAACACCACAGTAGAGTTTATTAAATTCACATGTTAGCTAAGAGCTTAGTTTTTGTTACGAATGTATTTTGCGTATACATTTTATTAGCCCAGAGTGCCTTAAAGTATCTCCAAATAAGAGTTAATAAACACCACAATAAAGTTTATTAAATTCACATGTAAATAATACAACTTTTGTTAAGAATGTATTTTGGCTATACTGTACATATTATGATAATAGCTCAAAGTGGATCCATCAAAGACTGAAATTACTGTTTAGAAAAGTTCTAGTCCCTGTAGTCTAATATATAACTATGGGGACAGCTAAGGATTTTTATCTTTCAAGACCTTAAAGTGTTAATTTAGGATCTTAATTTGTCCATAAGCAACAAAACAATGTCCAAATAATACAAAGCCTAAATAAGTAGAAAACATTTTTTTGGATGGGCAGGGTAAATACATAAATATTTAAATTTTCTCCACATGACACTAGTCGGTGAACTACAAGGTAATTCAGGAAAGGTGACTAATTCATTCTAATAAAATTATGTAGAAGAGTAAATATGACAGATTATTCATGTTAAAAATAAAATTCTCTGTCATATATTAAAAACCCATTGTCATGGAGTCAGTTCCAACTCATAGAGACACTATAGGACAAAGTAGAACTGCCCCATGGGGTTTCTGAGGCTGTCACTCTTGGCAGGAAAAGACAACCTCCTCTTTCCCATGGGGTGTCTGGTGAGTTTGAACCACCAACATTTCGGGTAGCAACCCCATGCCTGAGTCTGCTGGGCCACCAGAGAAAAAAAGAATTGTTTTATAAAATTTATGCTCCACATGCAAAACTGAAACTAGTAATATTTTCTATAGTCTGTGTAGGGGAATCTTGTGTTTAGGGAATTGCACAAATTAATTTTTCAAGATGTTTGCTTTGTGTTGACGTTAGCGCCTACTAACAGAATATCTGACTGCTTTCCTGAGCTGCTGGTCCAGGCACAAAGAAGGGTTTTGTTAAACCCTACTCACAGAACTCAGAAAGAGCTGATTCATAGTGGTTTACTGGGAAAGTCTATGTAAACGAGAAGACTGTGAGAGAAAGTACAATAATATATAACACATACCCAGAATTTAGACAAGTCCGTTTCTTATCTTAATTGATTATTTGCAAATTTTATGGAGGTATGTTGTTACCATATATACTGTACTATAAACTTCCCAGAATATCAGCTGAGGCACCTAATTTTACCACAAAAACTGCATTTAAAAAGTGCTAAAAACTTGGCTTATACATGAGTATATATGGTAGTTTAGTCTGGTGAGCTCTAGAAAACAAGCGTCTGGAAACACATGTTAACTGCAGTTTGAAACCAGCCCTTGGACATAGACTACCATCCCCATTAGTAGGTTATGCCCCATCCAATGTTATGTCCTAAGCTATCATGGTCTCTCCATACCTTGTGCTCCTTGCTTCTCTCTCCTAGGAGCGACCTGCCTCAGACTCCTGGCAGAAACTTGAAAAGTCTCGACAGTATAAGAACAGCAACCAGCTCCGGGAGTACCAGCTGGAGGGAATGAACTGGCTTCTTTTTAACTGGTATAACAGGTGAGGGACTGGAGTAAATGCTACCCAATCGCCATGGACCCATTTTCTGACAGATGACTCCCTGGATGACAATTGCCGTACCTGCAACACTGTGCATGGCAGCAGTGATTCAAGCAACAGAGTCACTGAATTCAGGGTAGTGGTCTTTATTTTCTATGAGCTGTCTGTATCCAAAAACAGTGATGTTTAGGCATCATTGGCTTGTGGTGCTTTTCTTTGCCAACCCACCAAGATGCAAGAAAGCCAAACTCGCTTCCACTGAGTTGATCCCAATTCATCGAGGCCCTGTGGGACAGGGTAGAACTGCCCCTATGAGTCCGTGACTGAAAATCTTAACAGGAGCAGAAAGCTTCATGGTCCACCCCCAAGTAGATGGTGGTTGGAATTGCTGACCTTGCCATTACCAACCACACGTAACACCGACTATGTCACCATGGCCCCTTAAGAAACCTCAAAGGATCGTTTATGGTTATTCGTACTACCTTATGCTTCTAAAAACTCTAGGAAGAATAATTCTGTCCTCAGTTGCTACTTACTCATCGTGAGCCATGGATGTTCTGGATGTAAGCAGTCTATATAACACTGGTTTGAATGCTCTGTGCTCTGTCTTCTGTCAGAATTCAACCGAGACAGCTGGCACTTATGAAAAGAGAGTTGATATTTTCTTAACATTTTAGAACCTACTTCTGTAGTCTTGAGTTTGAAAGATGGCACATTATAAAGGAAAATGGGACTCTGGGGCCTGACAGCCCCATGTTGTCTCTGGCATTTTCTTCCTGTGTGTCAGCACAAACACTGCACCTTTCTGGTGCTGAGTTGCTCGTCTGTCCATTGAGCCAGCTAGCTGGATAGTCACAGCACACTAAGCAGGGCCATTGCTTCATTCACTTGTGGGATTTGGAGTGACCTGGTGGTGTATTTCTGAACTGTTGGCCTTCCATTTAGCAGCCTAATGTATAACCAACTACAAGAGTTACAGTCTCAGGAAATTAACAGGGCAATTCTGCCCTGCCATGTTGGGCCGCTAGGAGTCAGCATCAAGTCCGTGGCAATGAGTTTGGTCTTGGTTTTTGTTGGTGCAGTGGGTTTAAGCACTCGGCTGCAGCCTGTGAGGCCAACAGCTCAAGCCTACCAGCAGTTCCTGTAAAGAGCCACATTCTCGAGAGCCCTGAGGGAGCAGCTGTACCCTAATCCATAGGGTCACTGTGGCTCATTGGTTGTTGGCCTGATTTTGACTCATCACAACCTTGTGGGTAAAAGAGACCAACTTCTTTACTCTGTAAGGAATTTTCCAAGTAGGTTAAATGCTCCTGGATGAAAAATAAGAAGTGAAACTTCTGTAGGTTGTTTGTGTCAGTGTCTGTTCTCTCTGTAAAACCATGATAAGGCCTCACTGATGACCTTATGGACCAGGGGAGTCCCTGAATCATGTTATGACCAAACTCTGCTTCTTGCCATTGTCAATAATGAATTTCCTGTATTTCTTACTCTCTGCAGAAAAAACTGTATTTTAGCTGATGAAATGGGCCTTGGGAAAACCATCCAGTCCATCACATTCCTTTCAGAGATATTCCTGCGGGGAATACATGGCCCTTTCCTCATCATCGCCCCTCTCTCGACCATCACTAACTGGGAGCGGGAGTTCCGGACCTGGACCGAGATGAATGCTATTGTGTACCACGGCAGCCAGATCAGCAGGCAAATGATACAGCAGTATGAGATGGTGTACAGGGATGCACAGGTGAGCCTTACTTACATACACCCCAGAGGCCCAAGGTGCCCTGGTGCCCTGGCCGAAGCTCCCTGCTGACCAGTTTTGCAGAAACAATCATTTGTGAGGCAAACATGCTCCTCCTTGGTAGTTTTTTAAACTTTCAATGAAACACAGGAGTTCAGGGGCTGGTTTCTATCCCAGAGAAGCCAGAGGCCATTCTCAGGACACTGAAAGTTTAGCTCATGAAGTTGCTGTTATCAGAATGCAAACTTTCTGTGAATCCTTACATGCCCCAGGAAGAAAGTGTGTACAGAAGCGAGGTGCCCTGCCAGGCCATTTAGTGAGCGGGGGAACAGAGTTGGCAGGGAAGGACAGAGGGAACACTGATTTCCAATTTCCACAAAGCACTACAGAACTTGTGTAATTTTAGCATATAGTTTTGGTAAGTATGAGGGGGCTTTAAACATTTCATGGAAAAATGGGATGAAAAGATAATGTCACTTTTGAAGACGCCTCATATAATCACTTTGCTGTGTCTGCGTGAGGAGGTGGTGCACTGGGCGCAGGTTTTGATAATTAAGGCGAGCATTAATGCAGTCAGAGGGAAGCCAGTGCTCTCCTCAGGGGCCTTCAGTGGACAGCAGAGGGGGGACACTTGGGAGATAGCCACGATGTGCGCAAACTCCATAAAGCTCTGCCTCAAATGTGACAGCAGCTCCTGGACAGGTAAAAAGGTAAAGGCGTGTCCTGCCTGAGCACTTGTCCCAGGTGAGTCAGGATGATTAGTCTGACTCTGTGTGCTAGAACCCAGATTTCAACTAATTACAAGGCTAAAGAAAAGAGTATTGCTACCAGGGTTCAGGTTCACGTTTATTCCAAACTGTGTTAGGCCAGGGGGCCTAGAGAAACTAATCCAGAGACTCATATGTGTAAATCCAGAGACTCATATGTGTTATAAAGAGCTTTATATCAAAGAGCAATTGTATATTGAGAAACCATCCCAGCCCAGTTCATATCTAGTCCATAAAGTCTGATGATATCCCATAAGTCCGTTACTAGTCCATAACTTCCTCTTCAGACTCACACAGCACATGCAATGATGCAGGAAGATCACAGGCCGGTGAGTGAAAAGTCTTGTGGATCCACTGCTGACAGAAGCTTCTCAGCGCTGGTGCGGTTCTCCACGTGGCTCCTCCAGTTCTGAGTGTGGCTTCTCAACAGGAAGGTGAAACAGCGAGAGAGACTCCTCGTAGGTCTCAGCAAGCAAGTCTCCTGTGACTTGTCAACAGGAGGGTGAAAGCAGGAGGGGACGGGGGAGCCCCTCCACTCGTGATGACAGAATCAAGAGAGGAAGTTACCAGAATCCGCATGAGAAGGCAGTGCCCGCAAGGAGCCATTAAATTGCATCCCTTCACTCTTACATCCTCAAGTTGACTCGAAATTATGTAACTACTACGCAAACTAATCATGTTTAAACAGGTCTCTGATCAGTGGATGGTTGAAGATAAATTCTCCCAGTGATAACATATTGTCTGAATGCCATTGGGGTGCCTTCAAAGAAGAAAAAGGTCCATTCAAAGCACTGGCTTCGGAGGGATCTTTTAGGCCAATGAAATTTAAGTCAGAAAAGTCAGGAAGGATTTCAAGTAATCTTGAAGGATTTTCCCAAACACTAGACAATAGTAGGGGTTTATTGTGAAGAAGTTGCAAGAAAATTGCAAATTATTCTGGTGAGAAGAAAAAGCCAGGAAAGTTGCACCGAGCAATTTATTCCAAGAGTGTAACTGCCCCTGCTGCTTCTACGAGGCTGTCCCAGGAGACTCTTTGGGAAACCCTCTCCCTTCTGCCTGCCCCTTCAGACTTCTTTGTGTTTCCCAAATTCAAACATTTCAGAGCACAATTTGAGTCCCTAGAGAAAGATGTCAAAACTTCCCATTGGACATAGTCTAAATCAAAGAGCACGGGACTCCTGAGTGGGGTGAGAGAGATGGAGACACGAGCCACTTAGATGGAGAGTGCGTTGAGAAACAGTAGCATCACGTTTTGAGTTAATACAGGTTTCTGTGACTTTGTAGCAATATTTTTTGATGGATAGATATGAAAAGGGTCCCTTGGGTATTCAAGCCTGGTCCTGACTGGGAATGTGGGGATCGATACCCATCTGCTTTCCTTATCTGGACAGTTAATAAGTTAAACGCTCCCTCGCTGTGTGAGGGCGAGGCTTCCCTTGCTTGTGTTTCATTGATGCAGTGAGGTTGCGCCTTGGCCCAGCTACCTGCTCATTCTCTTGAGTCCATCCTCACAGGAGGAGTCGCAGTGCTTAGCACCTCCTCTCTTAGGGCCCACACCTACAGTGCTATCTCCTCTACCCCAGCAGGGACCTGGTATTAGAACTCTAGGGCCCCTGAGTAAAGCTCTGCTTTCTGTGTGTCTTTCTCAGGGAAACCCCCTCTCAGGGGTCTTCAAATTCCATGTGGTCATCACAACATTTGAGATGATCCTGGCAGATTGCCCGGAGCTGAAGAAGATCCACTGGAGCTGTGTGATAATCGATGAAGCCCACAGACTGAAGAATAGGAACTGCAAGCTTCTGGAGGGTCTGAAGCTCATGGCCCTGGTGAGAGTTAGTTAGCCAGGGTTCTCTCTGCTAAGCACAGGCGCCTTCACTTCACCGTGGAGGAAGCATTCTTTATGCACTCTGCAGGTAGCTAACTTGACAGTGGAGCATACTCCTTTTGTTGCAGGTCATCCTTTTGTTCTCCATCACTGTGACAGTTAAGGGGTAACATTTTTTGTTGTTAGAAATGGAATCAGTGCTTGAACTTTGCTATTGATTCATTCCCAAAGAGATACAGGGAAATCTTAAAGGACTTGACAGCTGTGACCTGGAAATGTATGGTGTTCTGGCTGGTTTTCAGTTTCCTGGATGATCTGATACCAAGGAGAATGGTCTTTAGAACTTGCCTGACTTGGCCCAGTGCCCAAGTATGTGGTAGGCAGGCCTGTAGTATGAGGAGTGGCTGAATGGTGGCTTCATTATCATGAAATGGTTACTAAAATCAGCAACATGACCTGAAAGGTGGGTCGATTCACTTATTGACTGGGCCCGTACAATGTGTGAGCACCCTGTCTTTTTCTAAAAGCAGAGGGAGTTGGCCCAGGTTGAGTGCAGAATGCCCCAGCTTCGTATTCCCACCAGAGCATAAGTGTTTGAGCCCAGACACCATGCATCACATCCTTTCCATTTGTGCAGGAACACAAAGTGCTGCTCACAGGAACGCCCTTGCAGAACTCCGTGGAGGAGCTCTTCAGTCTGCTCAATTTCCTGGAGCCATCACAGTTTCCTTCCGAGACTGCTTTCCTCGAGGAGTTTGGAGACCTGAAAACAGAGGAGCAGGTAAATAGGCATCTGAAGGATTGAAGAGACCATGTAGTGGTGACTTTCCATGTCACAGAGAGAACAGATTGCTGTGAAGACAGAAGGTAGCCAGTCTTCCCAGACAAACATTGCCTCCTCTGTTTGTTGCTCTGTGTCAGGGAGAGTTAGCTGTTCATTAGCAGGTCTTATTGCTCTGATGGGAGATGACTCAGGATCCAAAATATCAGGTCTCCTACCTTCACCAGTGGCACTTGGAAGGTGGTGGTTTTGATGATACCTCTGGCCTGGGAAGCATGGGCTTTCTTCCGCTTCCCTCATTTTCATCCTTCCTCCTGCTTAATCTGAACTTTGTTCTCGGGTCCATTCACTTGGGCACACAATACACAGGCAGTGAGGTAAGGCAAGCAGTCCCATCCCTCCAGGAGTTGGTAAATCCCATTTTGCCCAGTTAGGCAAAAGTTTCTCACTTTTCAAAGGCCCAGTCCTTCTAAGTTCAGCTTATTGGACTCCAAGCCGATTCAAAACAATTGACTTTAGTAAATATCGATTGACTGTTGGATGTCTCTACAAGGGGTGCTAGAAATGAGGCAGCTAAATTAAAATGCCTTAAGAGAAATAAAGAATACGGTGATAAGCTTTAAAGTAGAGAGAGAGAGCCCACAGAATAAGGAAAGTCTTTATGGAAAGAGTATAACTTGAAAATGGACTTTGAAGGGGAGAGAGAGACGTCACTACTGTGCAAAGGAAAAAACAGCATAATTGGGGCCATGAAATTTATTCAGTAATAAGGAGTTGAACTGGAACCAGGTGGGTGAATTGTAGAGTATAAGGCCAGAGGGGTATAGGGTTCTGTTGGGGTGGGAGGCGGGGTGAGGGTACCTTGGAGGACAGTTGGAAGAGTTTGACAAGTAAAGCCATGCAGGGCTTTGATGACAGCACTGACATCATTAGTTCTGCTAAATTAATCTAGCAATCGTGTTAAAGTGGGTTGGGGCAAAGCATTTGGGGAATGAGAAGGTTTGGGATTTCTTGGGCACATAGGTTCCCAGACTTATTTGGCCCTTTTTTCCCAGAAAGATTACTCAGCACACTACTTCCTCCTTCCCCCACAATTGAAATGGTCTAAGCTTTGCAGCCCCCTGGGTTGTTCCAGCGTTCGCCAGGGGAGATAACGCCTACTTTGGGAAACATGGCTCTAGCAGATGTCAGGAGTACACTCTGTGGCTCCAATCTGTTTCTTTCTACTTCTGATGCAAGTCACACTTGGAGAGCAGTTCTGATTGGCAATGTCTGTTGATTCTTCATGAGCCATGTCTAGCCTTCTCTCCATTTTTGGTCCATTAGAAAAACATCCTCTTCTCCCTTGGCACGTAATTTGTGGTATGCATTTTTTTCTTCTTCCTAGACAATGACCTTCTTGAGGACATGACCCACATCTTCTTCAAAGTTGTGTTTGTTATATTGACCAGCACAGTGTCTGGCATATAGTATACTCTAAATGATTCAAGGTATGAACTAAATGAAAGGCAAAAATGGAAACTCAGCACGCGGCAGATTGGAAATTGTCTCTTTAACAGTTAGCTAGCAGTGTCTTTTTCCATTGGGTTTTTAAGTCAATGCTTACCTGGTTAGGGGATTCCTGAGTACCCTTGTTGATAAAATCAAGGTCTCATAAGAGTTAGGTTTAGGATTGGGTTAGGAGGAGGCCCAGACTCACTGCCATTGAGCCTATTCCAACTCCTAGCAACCTAACACAGGGTTTCTGAGGCTCTAAATCTGTAGAAATCAGAGAGCCCCTTCTTTCTCACAAAGAATAGCTGGTGAGTTTGAACTGCTGACCTTGTGGGTAAGTGGCCCAATATTTACTAAACAGTGCCAGCAGGTCTTGCCTAATTAAGAGAAACTCATAAAAATGGCAGCAAATGTCTATATTTTAAGCCACAGTAAATGTAAAATTTTAAAAAGCATCTGCTTTCACAATGAAGCATATTCATAATTGTCTGAAACGTGCCTCCAGCAAGTAACTCTTCTAATCACTCTGTCTCTTCCAGAAGAATTACCACAGCACCTCTCACACACTGCTTGTTTGTGCAGACTCTGCCAGTTTTTAACATTCTAAATAACCCTTTCTGACATGGAAACTGAATTTCCTCTGGTTTGCTTTCCTATCAGCATTAATCACACTGGAGCTATGGTTAGCTCAGGGTTAGCCCAGGTGCCCTGCATGAGTCCCTCCTCTGCCGTTGTCTTTTCAGGCGAGGGAGCCAGTCTCCTCGCTGGTGCAGACAGATAAGTAGCTAGAGATCTGCTCAGCTCCAGGCTTTTAGGGGAAGAGCAGACAAGTCCTAGCACAGAAACCACCTGACCTTAAGTGCTCCAGCTGTGACAGCTGTCAGGGTGGAATGGGAGGTGTCACTTAAAATGTTAACTCTTTACATGTGGCTACCTCCAAACATGTAGGCTGGTGGACATGTAATAGAAAGTATAGAAAAGATTTCTTTCCAAATTACCTCTACCTCTTTGTTGTTTTAGCATCTAAGTGTCCTCCTTGTAATGTGTCACTTGTAATTGCTAACATGGTTTAAAGTGTTGCTGGTGTGTGTGTGTGTGTGTGTGTGTTAGATTTGTTTTCTTCACTCCAGAGCAGATACTATCTTTTTAATCTTTCTCCCTATATAAGAGGAGGCTTCACAGTTTGTGGAGAAATGGAATTAAAAGATAGAAGCTTTCCACAAACTTGTTGATTTACACACACACACACACACACACACACACACACACACACACACACACACACCTGTGGTGGTTTGCAAGGTTGCCACGTAGTCTCAGTAGTTATACAAACCAGATCCTTTTTTTCCTTTTTAGTACCATTGTGCACCTCCATGTGCAGGGATCAGCCATGACCTTTCTTTAGCCCTGTTGTTATGATGCTCTGACTAGATGCTTGAGATCAGGCCAATGAACGGATCTTATTTCCTGGACAGGTGAAGAAACTACAGTCTATCCTAAAACCGATGATGCTGCGGCGGCTAAAAGACGACGTGGAAAAGAACCTTGCTCCCAAACAAGAGACGATCATTGAGGTGGAGCTGACCAACATCCAGAAAAAGTATTACCGGGCCATCTTGGAGAAGAACTTCTCCTTCCTGGCCAAGGGGGCAAATCAACACAACATGCCCAATCTCATCAATACCATGATGGAGCTGAGGAAGTGCTGTAACCACCCTTACCTGATCAACGGTGAGTGTGAGGCAGGGGAGTAAGGAGGCCAGGCAGACACCTTTGCCAAAAACGACTGGTTGTCAAAGATCTCATCAATCGAACTCTCATTATATGCTAAACAAAATCGTCATAGTTTATACAGACTCCTGGTGACTCCAGATGTGTCAGAGTAGAACTGTGTAGAACTGTCCACCTAAGGTTTTCAAAAGTCAATCACTAAGCCTTTCTTTTGAGGCACCCGTCAGTGAGTTCGAACCTCCAGCCTTTTGGTTAATAACAGAGCATGTTAACCATTAGCACCACTCCACCTTATGTGCCAGGATGTGTATTTCCTCTGCTTTTTACAGAGTGTAAAGCTAAGGCTCAATAAGATTAATAGATTTGCTTTGGTAAACTAGCCTAATAAGTGCACAGAGCCAAGAGGTGAACCTTCCTCTACCAGCTGTGCCTGCTAGCAGATGGATGTCACTCACCAGTCTCTGGTCCTTAATGTACTTGCAGTCTGGCCTATTCACTGCACCTTGAGACAGGGAATTGTATTACTTAGCTAGATTGATAATGGTGCAATAACTCTGCAGCTCAAACAGTTCATTGTAGTAGTTAAAGATGCCAGAGTCCCGTGGAGCGCAGTGCTAACTTAAGTACTCAACTCCTAACCAAGAAATTAGTGGTTAGAACTCACCAGCCAGTATACAAAAGAAAGCACCTGGTTCTGCCCCGTAAAGGTTAGTTACGCAAAGTGAGCGATTCTCAACCTGTGGGTCTCAATCCCTTTGGAGATCGAATGGCCCTTTCACAGGGGTTGCCTGATTCATAACTGTAGCAAAATTACAGTGATGAAGTAGCAACAAAAATAATGTTGTGGTTGAGGGGGTCACCACCACATGAGGAACTGTGTTAAAGGGTCGCGACATGAAGGTTGAAAACCACTGGTCTAGTTGATTCTGACTCAGTAGATTCTGCAACCTGATTGACAGAGCAGAACTGCCCCATTAGGGTTTCCCAGGCTTTCGTCTTTACAGTAAGGAGCCCAGGGCACAATGGGTTGGGACTGCCAGCCACATCTTCGATGGAGTAGCTGCCGGGATCTAACTACCACCCTTTTGGTAAGCTGTCAAGCACTTTAACCACTGCACCACCAGGACTCCTCCCATAAAGAGTGTAGCCTAAAAAATCTAAATGAGGCAGTTTTACTCATACTGGTTACTCGTTGGGCTGCTAACCACAAGGTCAGCAATTCGAAAACCACCAGCCACTCCTTGGAAGAAAGATAAAGCTTCCTAGTACCATAGAGTTGCAGTCTCAGAAATCCACAGGGACACTTTTACCCTGTCCTATAGGGTTGCTATGAGTTGGAATCTACTCAATGGTAGTAACAATAATCAAATTGCTTTAAAACAGGAACATTATATGGAAATGCAAGGAATCTAGAAAAGCCTAAAAAAACAAATCTTGGAATGGGGAGGGGCATCAGAGAATTATGTCAGAAGCCTTTACAAAATGTTTTAATCAAAATAGGGCTCGTGCTCTCTTAAAGCTAGTCTTTGTGATGGCTTCATCTCCTTCACTTCCGGTGAAGGTTTCCTTACTTGGGTGGGTCATCTTAGAGCTTGGCATCTGCACAACTTCTCTCTGCTTGCTGGGACATCCTAGAAAAACAGTCCCTGTGCTCTGCAAAGCGACCCTGCTGTCGCAGCTGAGGGGCCCTCCCGAAATGGCTTTATGTTTCCTAGGAGCTGTAAAACAGAAGAGTAGCTTTGACCTTAATGCTTTGTTCAAGGAATAGTTTTGTTCCATTCCTTTTCAGGGGCAGAGGAGAAAATTTTAGAAGATTTCCGAAAAACCCACAGCCCCGATGCTTCTGACTTTCAGCTGCAGGCCATGATTCAGGCAGCGGGGAAGCTGGTGCTCATTGATAAGCTGCTCCCCAAGCTGATTGCTGGTGGCCACAAAGTACTCATCTTCTCCCAGATGGTGCGCTGCCTTGATATCCTGGAAGATTATCTCATCCAGAGAAGGTGAGCCTTTATCAGGGCTGCAAGCATGTTCCTTCCCTTACAGCTTGCCCCACTCATTCAGCTAGCTAAAGGGAATCTCCTCCTATAGATTGAGTAAAATTCCTACCTATATGCCTTACTCCCCTCTAACCTCAGCTCTAATTATCTGGAGGAATTCCATAGCCTGTAAACATTGAATTCTTCATTTGCTTTTCTTAAAAACAAACAAAACTGCCTGTGTATTTGTATTCATTTTTGTTGAATGAAAAAAATAAGATGGAATTAAAGAGTTTAAAATTTAATTAATGGAAAATTAGTGCATTAACTCCCCCCTTTCGGTTTTGCTTAATGATGAGATTAAAAAGTGAGATCATAGAAAGCTTCACAATATCAAATTTTTAAAGTTTAGCTGACAACAAAAATTAATACTTTGGTGATATTTAATATTCTTCTCAGCAAACCCTTTAAGGTTGATGCTATACTAGCTGTACCTCCCAGGTTGTTTTCATGTTCAGACTCAAAATTCCGTGAATCTAAATCGGCTGCTCATGCAGGTGAAATGCCTTTTGTTGCATGGGCTGTTTAGATCCTGATTTGGGTCGGTTCATCAAACCACATCTTAGAGTACCAGTAATTTTGTGATAGCTCCATTATCTGAAGATGATAATTGGATCTTTTAAATGTACTGTTAATGAAGAAAGACTGTTTGAGACCATAGAAATTCTTAGCCTAGGCATTGGTAAGGAAATCTGTGTTTTCATCATAAAAAATTATGATTTTTCTTCATAACAAACCCCAGTTGGCTTAACTATTTGTATCTTAGAAGATCCTGTTTGCTTTTATAACATGTAATTTATAGAGAATGCTAAAGGAAATGACAGATTCAACTGTGGGGTGAGCTGATATTTAATATTGCAAAAATCCCAAGTCTGATTTGACAAAAGAATTTCTGATAAAGCCTTTTCATGTTTTATAAACTCACTAGGTTAGGAGTCCATTGCTGGAGTATACTTACTTATAAATATTCTCTTATTCGTTCTGATAACATTCAACTATTAGTTTGCCAATTTTAAAAAGAACACAAAAAATGAGTAACAGTGTAATGAAGCAACCTGCTAAATTCACAAGTCTTTATTTAGCTATTCATGCTGCTTTTATTGTATCATTAATTGCTTATTGTATTGTGTCAAAAGCACAGAAGTATTACAGTTTCATGTGAAAATATGGAAAGATATGCCACTGCTTCCCACACAAAGCCCTCCTTGTGCTTTGGGATTCTGTTTGAATTCTTCTCGCTGTGTGCAAGTGTTTAGTTTTGTTGTTTGTTTCACTGAATTGAATTTATATTATACCTTCTGTTTGACTCACATTTTTAATTTAATAGATTATGAAATGCTTTCTTTATTCTTTACCATAATTTTGATGATCTGCATGATACTCTTAAAGGTAGCTTCCTAATTATTTAGCATTGTAAGGAACTCTATAGGTGTTCCTTTAAATTCCATGTGTATGTCTCTAGTTTTCTTTAGGATAAATTCCAGTGTAAATTTTTAAAAGCATCTGATAAAATCCACTAGAAAGATTTATAATTTTATTTATATATCTTACAACAGCGTATGAGAATGAATCTTAACATACACCAATCAAGTACTACTATTTCCTCTTAATTTTTGCTATTTCAGTAAGGCAAACTTAAGGTGTCTTGTTCTGTGTTTCAGTGTGAATGAATATTTATTAGCTGCCCCCCTCCTTTTGTGAGTTGCTCATTCATGTTCTCTGTTCATTTTCTGTTGTCCTGTGCCTTTTTGTTACTATGGAAGCTGTTTGTTTACTTAAGAATGTGGTGCAAATACTTTCCCCATTGTTAATGAACAAATTAAAAATAATTTGGTAGTATTGTGCTTTTGTTTACGGGTGTGGGTTTTTGCTTGCTTAATAGTCAAATTGCTCGGTGTTAGCTTAAAATAACCTTACATGTGTTTAAAAGGTTTTTCCCCAAGTCCCAACTCTGAGACCATATGAACGTTCGGGAGTATATATTCTTTTTAGTTCCTTTGGGTGTTTTCTCCCAAACGCCATCCACCACGGTTCATCTGGCCTTAAATCAGTGGTTCTCAGCCTGTGGGTTGCGACTCCTTTGGGGGTCTAACAACCCTTTCCCAGGGGTCGCCCGATTCATAACAGTAGCAAAATAACAGTTATGAAGTAGCAACAAAAATAATTTTATGGTTGAGGGGTCACCACAACACGAGGAAATGTATTTAATAGTCGCGGCATTGAGAGCCACTACCTTAAATGTTGTCATTTCTCTTCCCTTTTTAATTTCATTTTTATTTTCTCATAAGTTTTCTCATGTCATTTTAAAAAAACAAATGGTTCTATTAAACTTAAGAAAAATTGCATTCCCTAATTAACTGCCATCCCACCCTCTGTGTCTCCTTTCCCGCTTTCCCATCCCGGTTCACTCCCCCTTCCCTTCTAGAAGCATGAATACTTAGCCCTCTTTCTCTGCCACTCATGCCGCCACTTAGGCAATTTCCTGCCCTCTCATCTACCCAGAATGTCACAGAATGTTTTGAGTTACATCAGTAATCTCTACGAGCTAGAATCCACTCTAAAGCAGTGAGCTTTTGAGTTACATTGGAGCACCTCTTCTAGAAGCTTCTGAGAAAGGTTGATTAATGGGATAATTTTGAGACCTTGTCAGAAAACACTTTCATCTTACTCTCATTCTTTTGAGTTATAATTTGGCTGGATTTGAGATTACAAGGTAGAAATCATCTCCCCGTCAGAAATTTGAAGTTGCTGCTCCATTGCTTTCCCACTTCCAGTGTTGCTGTTGAGAAGTTAAAAGCTCTCTGATTTCTGGTCTGTGTTAGTAAAATGTTTTGTTTGTTTCTTTTGAGGTTTTCTTCTTTTTCTCCAATGCTATGAGATTTCATCCTGCTTTTTGGGTGGGATCCGTTGTGCTGGGTGTTGAGTTCCCCATCTGAAATCTTAAGTTCCTTTGTTTCTGGGGAATTTTCTTGAATGTTATCGTTCACTATTTCTTGTTGTTACACCTCTTGGTTGAATTCTTATTATGTGTAAGTCAGATATTCTGGACTGATCACTTTATTTTCTCTTTTTCCATCATATTGTCTGTGGTACCTTCTGTTAGAAATACTTCTGTCTTCCAAAATACTTTGAGTTCTCTTTAATTTAATGAATATGATTATAGTAGCTATTTTAAAACTCTTGCTTGGTATTTAGAACACCTCAGAGTTTGATTTTAATCTTGAGAATGACTCATATTTTTGTGATTTTTCATGTTTCCTAATTTGTTGTTTTGTTTTCCTTGAACATTTTGGCTATTATTTATGTTGCATAGATTCTGAATTCTGTCATGTTGCTCTGAAGAGGGGTTTTTCTTCTAAGCTTTATTGGCATGTAATTTAGTTCAGTCACATCAAAAAGAGTTGTACAATCATCACTACAATCGATTTAGAACATATTCTTCATTCTTGTACTCAATTGCTATTAGCTCCTCATTTTCCCCTGACCTCCCCTGCCATACCCTGAAGGAAACAATTATCCAGGTACTGTCTCTATAGATTTACCTGTTCTGGATTTCGCATACAGAACATTAGAAACAAAACAAAAATAACAAGTGTTTTTTTGTTTTGTTTTTAATCATTTTATTAGGGGCTCATACAACTCTTATCACAATCCATACATACATCAATTGTGTAAAGCACATTTATACATTCATTGCCCTCATCATTCTCAAAACATTTGCTCTCCACTTAAGCCCCCGGCATCAGCTCCTCGTTTTTTCCCCCTCCCTCCCCACAAGTGTTTGTTTGTTTTTTAATTTGGAGGCAGTTACCTTAGCGGGACTCAAAATGCAAATTCTGCCAAGGTAAAGTACTGCTTTGATCTCAGAGTACTATCTTTACTTCTGATTTAAAAATATATTTTGATTTTCATTTTTGTTGGGAATTTACTCAGCAGAAGCACCAATTTAGCGGTTTCTACATGTGTGATCGGTGATATTAATTACCTTCTTCAGGTAGTATAGGCATCCTCACCATCCTTTTCTGAATTCCTTTTCCTGTCCCATCACATAAACTCAACACCCGCTAAGTTGGCTTGGTTGTCTTTTGAGTTACTATTGTCAGTTTGAACCCATATAGAGGGCTGTTTAAAAGACCTGTTGCTCAGGTCAGGCATTCTATTGTTGGGTATGTGTTGGGCTGCATGGTCAGCAGTTCGAAACCACTAGCAGCTCCAAGGGAGAAAGACTGGTTTTTCTACTCCTGTAAATAGAAAGTTTGGTTTGTTTGTTTTGTTGGTTGGTTGGGGTTTTTTTTGTTTGTTTTTTTTTTGGTTGGTTGGTTGGTTTTAAAGAAGACTTAAGGGGATACTTTTTGGTTTAAGGTTTAAAGATTATTTTAGGGCAAGTTTCAGGTTCCATCCAGCCCCCATCCTGGCTCCAAAAAATTGAAATTTTCTGAGAACTTGAAATTTTTGTTCTGTATATTCCCCCTTTTGATTAGAATTAAGCATACACTCTTTGTTCAGAATATTCAGTAATAGTAACCAGGCACCATGCAGTTCTTCTGGCCGCATGGTAAAGGAGATTTTTGTCCTTGGAAACAATTAAGACACAAATACCTCCCGATCCTGCTGCTGCTTTTGTTGCTCCAAGTGAATAGAGACCAATTGTTGTTTCTTGGGTTACAAATTGCAAGCTTTTAAGACTCCAGGCCATAGTACATAATGAACTCAGACATAAAACCAACGCACTAAAAAGGTAGTAAGCCAATTGATAGTTCAGGTTACTTTCATTTGGCCTTGTGTTTGGGTGAATCAAAAGTGTGCCAAGGGGTTGAGATAGAATTTATGTTTTCCAAGGATTCCCTCTCCGTCCTGGTTTGCACAAGTCCCTTGCCTTGGTGCCTTTGGACAGAAAGACAGCAAGCAGCTTTTTATAAGAGCTGCAGCTGCTCTGCATCTTCATGCTGTGGCTGTAGTCTTCC